GTTGTGGTTGCAGTCATTTGCCTTCACGCCATCTCCTACCTGTGGCAACCCTCTCTCTAGGGTTTTCTAGCCCAATTTAAGTTTGCAATTCCCTTCCTTTTAGGCTGAGAGAGTGAGACTTGCCCAAGATCACACAGTTGGCTTCTGCGGCTGAGCCTAGGTCTGTGCCTAGCCCAACACTCAAACCACTATATAACATTGTCTCCCATTTTGTGTACCTTTACGTCAACTCTGACTTATAGCAACCCCTTTCTAGGGTTTTCTTGGCAATTTTTCCTCAGAGGATAATTGCCATTGCCTTCCTTTGGGGCTGAGAGAATGTGACTGCCCTAAGGCCACACAGTGGGTTCCCATGACTGATTGGAGATTTGAATCTTAGGTCCAAAACACACTGCAGAGATAATTCAGTCTGAGACCTCTTTAACTGCCTGGGCTCAGTGCTAGTGAATTCTGGGAGCTGTAGTTTGTTATGGCACCAGAGCTCTCTGACAGAGGAGGCTAAATCTCTCACAAAACTCATCGCTTAATGCTCAGACCACTACACCATGCTGGCCCCATAACCTTTCATGGGTCACAGCCTTTTGGACTTTCTGAAGTTTCTGGACAGTTTCCAAAGAGATCATCACTTAGTTTAGACATCGGAGGGAACATCAACAGGAATTCCTGGTAGCGTCTCCATGTTTGTTGGAGACCCTTCCCCAAATTTCCCAAAGCCACTACCATCTGGAATAAGAGGAATATCTGCAGGTCCAGAGCATAGCAGAAGCATTTTCTCCTATAGTCTGCATGTTCTCAGAGCCAAATAATGGTGCCTCGACGTACATCAACTTGTAGGCTAAATGAAATTCAAGCCGGGGTCCAAAGGGCAGAAAGCTAACTGTGCTTCACCGTGTCCTCCTGCAATTTTATGAGTGCTTAGTTCATGACAAATTTGCTAATAAATTCCAGACCAACAGACTTTGTCTAGGAATGAGATGATGGATAGGAGCACTTCTACTTTCAAGGAATGAACTCTGGCAAAAATTAGCATTGACCCAACAATTCCAATGGCTCTTTCAAGAAGAGAACACTTGGCTTCACTTGACCAATCCATCAAGATGGCTAATTGGAAATACAGTAAATATTAATAGCTGGGGGATGTTCAATAGAAATTGGAAGAAACATTGGATCATAGATTAACACATTTTGTGAAGGCTTTGAGCTACATAGATTCCTGGAGGAGATCCCTATAGGAATTACAAGATAAGTTTACTAAGTAATATCTTATTAATTGGAAGGTGCAATTCTTGCATCCTTGCCAAGCAAGGATCTTTACACTGCTCTGAAAGGGAATGCTTTTAAAGGCTCATCTTTACAAACAACCCATAGCATAGAGAACACCGCCACTTGATATACGAACCTTTTATCCTCTTGAAACTCATGGCTTTCTCATCGTTTAAGGACCAAAACAATGCCAGTTTATTCTATTGTTACGTGGATCGATGGAAGTGGTAATTTTATCTCTGGAGGCCCTGTTACTGCTTCCATTGTAGTAACATCAGATGCCTGTCCTCTTTCCACACACATTGGGACTTTTTTGCAGATCATTGTCTGCTCCGGTACAGAGGGATGGAAGCAGAAGCTTAAGTTGCTTATGAAATAATTTGTTTAAATGCAGCCAAATGAAATAGTTTGTGTGTGTGCCTTCAAATTGCCTGTTGACTTATGGCAATCATGAATTTCATAGGGTTTTCTTAGTCAGTGAATTCTCAGGGGTGGTTTTGCCAATTCTTTCCTCTGAAATGCAGTCTCCAGCACCACCAGATATTCGTTTATGGTCTCCCATCCGAGTACTAAGCAGAGCTGGCCCTACTTAGCATCCTAGATTAGATGGGACCTGCACCCTTGATTATCAAAATTTGGTCCTCCAAATGTTTTCAACTTTAATTCCCAGAAGCCCCAACCAGTTTGGTCAACAGTCAGAATTCTGGGAGCAGAAGCCCAAAACATGCAGAGGACCAAAGTTTGGGAACCACTACTTTGAAATATTTCTCTCCTTAAAATCAGATTTTGGGACATCTGATGTGCCAAAAACAAAGCATGCATCAAACTAAGGTCTGGATCCCTTTGTTATTACAGTCCCCTCCATGTTTGGAAACACTGGCTCAGCAAGCGCCTGGTGTCCAGAAGCAGCCAACTATAAATCTCCCAGCAGACTCTGTCTGGAGTCCTCATTGCTCCCAACTGTTCAGCCTCTTCAACTGGATGTGTGGTCTTCATATTCCTGTGCTTCCTTCTTGATCCCTGGTCTGGCTGCATTAACAACTCCTTGGTGGCTACGGATATCTGGACTGTTGGTTGTGTGTAGCCTCTGGACTGGCTGAGAGCATACTCCTGGACAATTCTTCATCCCTTCTGGGATAACCTGTGCCAGACCTGAGGTGGATTGACTTCCCTGTAGCTCCTTCCTCTCTCCCTTTGGGCACTTGCAAAGGAGATCCTCATGGACTCTTAAATGCACTACCAAGGAGTAGGGGCCAGAAGTGTCCAGATGTCAACTTTTGGTTTTGAAAAACGTATTTTGGGAGATTATTCAACCCCTTTTTATGGCCAGAATAAAAGAGAGTTCTAGGGTAACTAGAGGATTTGGGGGCCACCAACACAGCCTTAATGAACTTGTGGGACACCACAATGGCATTTTCCCCACCCTTGACCTAAACAGAGCTTTTCTGAAGGTATGAAAGGGAGTCTGAAAAATTCATTGCATGCAAGCAAAGCACAGGACCTGGATACCGAATACGCCATGATGGTCCTCAACAAATCTGCCTTCCTTCAGTCAGAAGAAAAGGTGATTTGTGGAGGGTGAGCAGAATGGCATCTCCAGAAAGCATCTACAAAAAGAGCTCAGATGCCAAGTTTTGCAACCATGATTTAAATTCAGCCAACCTGAGTATCTGACGTGTGAAATAAGTGTGAGTAATTCCCCAATGTGTGTGGGTGCATTGTGTGTGTGTGTTTCCATCTCTCATCTGTGTTGGAGGTATATGCATAATGGCAGACTGTGTTGTTTACTGTTCTGGTTACATCTTTATTGGATAGAGCTCAAAGCACTTCCCTTTGGATGGTCTGGTCATAATTTGATCTTCTCCTAATTACAATGAATGTGTCTCAAACACAAACACTTATTCACAGCCCTATCATGTGCTTGCCTTTCATATAAATGAATCAGTTCCACATAAGTGATAGTTTATGCTTTAATAAGTGCAATATTATGATTTGGACTACTTTCTGCCGAAAAGGAGAAAAGGGGGAAGAGGAGAGGACATAATGCAACCACAATAACAGAGTGTGTTAGCAAATGAAAATAAATAAAGCAGGAGGAAAGAGCCATTTCTTTCATGTGCTGCTTGACACTGAAATCATGGTACACTCAACAATAAATCATATCATTGAGCCTGGGTATGCAAAGATTTTTATGATGTTTGGGCCGTCTATCCAAGCCAAATATATATAATGGTTGCATAACAATGTAAGAGAACAACTGCTCTAGCACACAAGTCAGCAGAGTAAGATGGATGAGGAGCAGGTTTTATGATGGGAAAGGCAGGCAAGGCAAGGCAAGGCAAGAGGTGTTGTCTGAGGGCCAGGATGAGTCAGGTCACCTCGAATGACTGCCATGCCCAACACACAGAGAGGAGAAACTGGGGAAAGGGCAGAGGAGGGAAGAGGTGGAGGACCCTGCGGCAATTGCAATAGCCAAGTGCAAGGAAAAACATCCCAGTTGCCCCAGTAGGACCAGGCTGGCTTCCTTATTGCTCCTTAAGGAGGAGGACAAAGAGGAGTAAAATAAGAAGGAGGAGGAGGAGAAAGATGAAGAAGACTGAGGAGGAGGAATCATAGAGTTGGAAGAGACCCCAAGAGGCCATCCAACCCATTTCTGCCATGCAAGAATACACAATCCAAGCCCTCCCTGTGACCAATGGCCATCCAACCTATGATTTGAAACCTCCAAAGAAGAAGACTCCACCACACTCTCCAAGGCAGCAGCATCTTCCGCCATCAAACAGCTCGGAGGAGGAGAAGAAGAAGCCATGTCAGCCATGGCTAGAACAACAGAGCTCCATCGTTGACATTATGGCTGATGGTGCATGTTCTCAGGTTATATTTGTGAGAAATTGGCACACCATTCTGACCTATGACACGCCATTCTGACCTAACCCTTGTAAAGATTCTTTATTCCTGAAGCTGTGGTGAATTTCTCAGTAAAGGCCGGAACGTACATCGTGCGTAATTTTGTGCCCCTGAGGGAGCCATCCAATAATATCCACCTAAGAATGCTTTTAGGAAAAAAGAAGCCAGGGAGGGCCCCTATTAGAAATGAAAACATAAGCAAAGTGGAGAGGATGAGTATTCTTGCTCCTAATGCCTGGGAGAAAAGTCGTGACAGCTTAATAGACCTGAAAGAATGAAGTTGAAGAGGAGAACAATCCACAGAGGGGACCATAAATAAGTGATTATGAAATAACAAACCAGGATTCCCCTCCTGCCAACAACCTTCTAGCATTCCATTAAAACCCATAAATCTGCCAATGGCCCCGGCTAAGTACGTTTCCGCCAGTGCATTAAAAAGCCTTTGTTTACAGGGTGGGTAAGCAAATCGCAATGTCTCCTTCGTTCAAACAGAAGTGCCCCCTCCATGTCTCCATGGCAGGCCAAAATTAAACAAGAACGCAGCATTGTCATCGGTCCCTTGACACCAACGGAAGAAGCCTTTTGGATTGTTGCATTCACAAGGCCTATTTTGATAGCCCAGCCATGCTGGCTGGAATTTGTAGTCCAACATGGATATGGTTTCTCTTTTTGAGTGTTGGACTAGGACTCTAAAAGACCAGGGTTCAAACCCCTACTCAGCCATGGAAATCTTTGGGTGACCTTCCTCAAGTCCTACTTTCTCTGCCTCAGAGGAAGGCAATGATGGCTAACCTCCTCTAAAGAAATCTTGCCAATAAAACCATAGGAGAGGCAGAATGGTGTAGTGATTTGAGTGATGGACTACGACTCTAGAAGCCCAGGGTTCAAATCCCCACTCAGCCATGGAAACCCATTGGATCACATTGGGGCCTGATTCCCACTTACAAATAAATCAGTTTGAGATCCAAATCGATGGATCGGTTTGACAGTGGAGCGTGGTTCACACTACATTTATCCCAATCACATTTTCTTGCTGTGAAATAACCCACTTGTGGTTCAAATTAATGAATGAATCAATTCAAAATGGACCCACTTCAGCCAGCCAAAGGACAAATTTAAATCAATTCCAATCCGCATCTCATTCACACTTGCACAGAATCGATTTATTGAAAAATAGGTGGAAAAAATTAGCATCAAAAAGATGCACATTAAATAGGTCTAGTGCATGGCCTTTCTCTCCAAAGCGCTCCAGCAATTCAGTTCAAATTCAAACCAGGGTCATTTAAACTGCTTCAAACCAGTTTGCAAACTGGTTTAAAAGGTATTGGGAATGAGGCCCCAGGAAAGTCACAGGGTATGTTGATACTGGCTGCTTAATCCGGGGCCAGTCTGGAGCATTGGCCCCAGACTGGCCCTGGACTAGCCATGATGGTGTCCACATACACCAGGACGAACCTGGTGCAACAGCACACCATTGTGGACATAGGGCAGCCAGGCCAAGACCACATCAGCCCTACTAGCCTGTCTCCCTTGGTGTTCCCTGGAAAAGCCTGCCTGGCACACTGTCACTTCTTCTGAGGACAGAAATGGGTGCCCAGACTCCTTGCTGATCCCATGTTCAGGTGCCCATTTCTGTCCTTATAAGAAGCAGTGATGTGTCACTCAGGCAGGTTTTACACAAAGCTCCTACTCAAGAGAAAGTGGTGGCAGATCCAAAAAACAGATCATCCCTTTTCCTCATGCTGGTCATCATGGCCAAGGGGGTTGACATGGTTCTTGGTATGTGGACCATGGAGCAGTCCATTGTCCACAGTGAGCACATGTTAGCTCATCATGTGCCAAAATAACCCAAGGTCATTCCACGGTTTCTGCAAAACACTGGGCTTTTCCATGACTTTGCTTAGTTTGAAGCAAAGTCAAGTTAAGGGCCAGAAACCATGATATCTTCCTTGGAAGTAGCCTTATATTGTGAGGACTACCAGCACAGGCTTCGGGGTGAGTTTAGAGGTTTTCTCCCATGTAGACAAGCCCACACTTGCTCTGCCTTAGAGGAAGGCAATGGAAAACCTCCTCTGCATAAATCTGGCCAAGGAAACCCTAGGATAGGATCACCATACATCAAAGTTGACATGAAGGAGCGTATCAACTTGAGCCCAATGTGAAGTCGTAGGCTCTCATGGCTGGCATCCATAGTTTTTGTGGGTTTTTGGGCTGTGTGGCCATGTTCTAGAAGAGTTTCTTTCAGAAACTCTTCTAGAACATGGCCACACAGCCCGAAAAACTCACAAAAACTTGAGCCCATATTGTGTCCTTGTCTGAGTGTTGGACTGGGACTCTAGTTCGAATCCCCGCTCAGTTATGGAAACCCACAAGGTGACTCTGAGCAATTCAATCTTTCTCAACAGCCTTAGAGGAAGGCAATGGCAAATCTCCTTTGAATATATCTTGCCAAAGAAAACCGTAGGATTGGGTCACCATTCTTCAGGGTCAGCTTGAAGGCAAACAACAACAGCAACAGCAACAACTCTTCCAGGCTTTGGTTTGATTTTTCCCCCTTGTGCTAAGTAGGAATTCACAGGATGCTTTTTAAAAGTTATGTTCACAACATCTGTGTTTTTGGCAAAGCAGCTTAGCCTTCTTATACAGTTTCATCATCATAAGAATTCGAGCTTCCTTTTTTAAAAAAGGGACATGCACACACATTTGTAGTTTTTAGGAGAAGAGTTCAAAAGATATGATCACTAAAATGTGGCACTATAGAAGTCAGAGAACAGAGCTTCTGTGCCCTGAATTATTCCTTAGGTACCATTTCCAAAACCCTGTATTTTCAGTCCTCTTACCCCCAAAATTTCCACATCTCTAGGTACACCTTCATCTCATTGATTTCCCATTCCAGACGGGTCATTTTGATGAAGACACCTTGAATATTTGATAGAACTGTCAAAAAGTGTCACATATTTGAATAAGAGGTGTCCTTTCAAGCATAAAAAGTCCATAGACTTCTTACATGTCTTCATTAGGAGGAACCTTGGAACTTCATTCCTTTTAAATGGCAATAAATATGGTAAATATTCTTGGCAAAATGACCTAGAGAGAAAGAGAGAGAGAGAGATTGGAAATGGACTGAAATAAACTTCAGAGGAAGAATTGGTTAACTTTCAGGATGATAGTTCACTTTGATTAACTAGTTCTCATTATTATGTTTTTGGTCATATGTAGGAGAGTGTAAGGTTCGGTGGTTTGAGTACTGAGTTAGAATTCCAGGAAATCAAGATTCAAAACCCTGCTCAGCCCTGGAAACTCCCCCCAGGTGACCTTGAGCAAATCACACTCTCTCAGCCTCAGACAAAGGCCACACTGGCAAATCTATTGTGGGTTTGGTGGGGAAAGCTACCTATTTGTTAATTAGCTTGCATGCTTGTTGGGGAGTCAAATTCCTTCTCAACTTCTTTTCCCATGTTGCAAGTTGAATATATAAATTTACCTCCAGCTTGCCAAAACTGAACAGATACACACACATTAAAACTAAACACACACACACACACACTCCTCAGGGGTATAACTATGGGGGGGGGCAGATGAGAGCATTGTCCTTCAGTTCCCAAATTTCTAGCATTGCAGTAACTTAAAACTTTTACCATCCAAAGAAAAGGAGTTGCAAAATGACCAACGGCATGTGAATACAACACATTTTTAAAATTCTAGTTACTAATGATTTTCAGTGTCTAGTCTCTGCAATGCTATAAATTTGGGAAGTGAAGGAAAAATTATTTAGAAGGCAAAACTCTTTCCTTGGGGGCAATGCCCTCATTTTGCCTCCGTAAAGCTAGACCTCTTACACACAATGGGACCTTTATTGGCTGCTTATTTCAACCTTCTCCAACCTGGCATGCTCCAAACATTATGGACCACAACTTCCACCATCCCTGATCTTTGGCAGCATTGACTCGAGATGATGGGAGTTGTTGTCTGAAACATCTGGAATAGGACCCCCAAGATGAAGAAGGCTGCCCTACTTTCTGTCTCAACTTCTCAACTTGTGAGTTTTATTTGTCGAAATCCATCTGTTACCTTTTTTTAAAAAAATTGCCTCTTTCCTTAAGCGCCTGATTTTGCAAAGAAGGCAGAGTTGATCCCCCCCTAAAAAATTAGTTAAAACAGACTTCATTAAAATCAAGCACACTTTCCCACTCTCCCAATAGATGCAAAATATGGTTGCAAATGAGAACCACATAAGAGCAGGGCTTTTGGTACATCAAAGCATCATTCAGTAGATCACACAAGAATTTCATATGAATTGATGTGGCAGGCAAAGAAAGATTGACAGGAGGAAAGCTTCTCAAGTGGATTTTCTCCATCTGATGCTTTCAGGGGATAACATTTGGAGAAAAGGCTGAACAACAAGGAACAACAGCATCACAGAATAAATTCCAGAAATCTTTTGGGGTCAACGCAACCACCTTCTCCATTTGGATTCCTCTTTATCAGTCACAGTCACACACAACTGCCCTTCAGGACATACTTTTGTTGGATTGTGCTACCAAGAGAAATTATGGTCCACAGAATAAATATGGGTTGCCTTTTGTACAGTATTCTCAGCAAGATTGGATGGTGACAGACAGGTAGGCAATCTCTTCCACTGCCGAACAGCCCTTAGGGTCAAGAAGTTCTTCCTCATGTTTAGGTGGAATCTCTTTTCTTGCAATTTGACTCCAATGGTCTGTGTTCCAGTCTCTGGGGCAGCAGAAAACAAGCTTGCTCTATCTTTTACAAGATGTGTTGTGTGTGTGTGTGTGTGTGTGTGTGTTGTTTTGCCTTCAAATCATTTCCAACTTATGGCAACCCTAAGGTGAACCTATCACAGGGTTTTCTTGGCAAGCTTCTTCAGAGGTAGAATCTTCACAGCTCAGCCTATGAAAACCCACTGGGTCACACTCTCTCAGCCTCAGAAGACCTCCTCTAAATAAATCTGGCCAAACAACCCCCCCCTCCCAGAATCGGATCTCTGATGTGGAGACAGCATGGTGTAATAATCAGAGTGTTGGACTAGGACTCCAGGACACCAGGATTCGAATCCCTGCTCAGCCCTTTGGCTGACCTTCCTTGGACAAGTCACACTTTCTCTCCACTCCAGAGTCAAGCAATGATGGCAAGAGAAATCTCACCAAGACCATGATAGGTTTGCCTTAGGTTCCCCATAATTTGGAAATGACTTGAAGGAACACAACAACGAATATCACTGACTGACTGACTGACTGGATGCCAGCCACTGAATGCAAACACTGGAAGAAAAGCAGAGCAACAGCAATTGGAGAAAGGAAGACATTGCAACACACTTATGCAGCACATACATGTTTATGACATTTATTGCTTGCAGGATAGCATTGTGGCTCACTACCTAATTTCCAAGATGCCAAGGTTAGCAATAAGGTTAGCATAGATCCAGGAATTGTTTTAGGTGCAGACATTAACTTCAGACTTCTAATACTTTCTGGAACACATCACAAGGCAATCATGAGACACAGGCATAAGCCATGGACCCCTTTTCTGTCTCTTGGACCCGGAGAAGTGGAAAGATCTGAAAGTGAGGAAACATGATACTTTTTCCAACCGCAAGGAAAAAGAATGTTTGAACAAGTTAACTGGGCTGGATGGGGAAGAAAATGCAACTGACCTTTCAATGGGGAATACCACATGAGCGCCTCTCTTCTTAATGACTGCCCCATATTCTAGCTTAAGCTTGCTCTAGAAGACAGCACTGGCCCAGGGAGAGGCTTCAGAAAAAAGGATTTCAAAGAACAGATTCACAACACTTGGCAAAAGCAGATATTCTCAACCAAGGGGGGCAGCAAGATCATTTTTAGTGGGAGAGGCAGGAGGATTTGGCTATCAGTCGTATAAAAAGAGGGTTGGGAGGGTGGAAAAATAAGTCTTATCATAGAACAGAAACCCAGAATCATAGGGTTGGAATGGACCCCAAGAGGTCATCTATGCCAAACCCATTCTGGCATGCAGGAAGACACAACCAAAGACCTCCCAATCTAACTTCTGCTTAAAAACCTCCAAAGAAGGAGACTCCACCACACTCCGAAGCAGCATCTCCATAGGTTAATGGCAGAAATAATGCATTGCACTGAGAAAATATGATGTGAAGTTTTCAAAACAGCAAATCAATGTAGAGTACAATTTTTTCCCACATGCAAAATGCTTGTGCAATCGAAGCAACAGGGACTAGGTAGTAAATACATTTTGCGCATATCATCCTACTATAATGATCAGAACAGTTAATAAAGCCTAATGAGTTCTGATTTCTCTGCAGACTTGTAGTGAAACTGCCCACTTGACAATACTTTCAAATAGGCGACTTTCAAGAACCAAGATTACCAAATTTGCTTTTCACTAATAAAGCGTTGAATGGTCTTTCATGGTGGGTCAAAGCCTATGGGTCAAAACTGAGAATGAATTTTTACACATCGCTGTAGATGCAGCAAAGACAAGTCCTGCATCTTGCAAAGTGTACTTCATGAAATGAAAGGAGCCCTTGTTCAGATATATATATATATATATATATATATATATATATATATATATATATATATATATTTGTCATTTCATGAAGTGTTTATGTTGGAGTTTTGCAGGATTCTGTCATATTGGGATATAAATCTTCATGAATCTTATTCTTGTTCTTCCTGGAGGAAGTCATGCCTCCAGAAAGGTGTTGGTGAAATATAGTTCCAGGTTGCATGCCCATGTGTTTTTGTTTTGGATGGGGCAACTGGGGGGGGGGGGAAGATACTATAATTCTCCACCCTTTGTCCAAAGCATGCTCTCCCCAGCAGCTGCTAAGCCCTTAGTAGTTTGTGTAGCTGTCCAGACAGAGCATTGTATGCCACACCTTGGCCTGTGAATGGACTGCAAGTTTCCTTGGGAAACATTTCATATGCAGCGGAACGGGTCACATAAGTCCCCATATTGAGTCCAGCTGGACGGAGGTCATGGTGTCTTAGCCCACTTTTTATACTAAGAGGCTGATTTTCACCAAGGCACGGCTCCATGCTAATAAATCCACAAGATGCAGCGGGAAGGCTGGATTTCTCCATACTGAAAGGATGCAACCATTTGCTTAAAAACAAAACCTAGTACTTTGTTCCTTTGGAGGCCATGAACTGCTGAGCAGACACTTCCATCAGATAGAAGATGTTATCACCTGTTAACTGTCTTGCATATTACTGGGATGTTTGTGCTAATTGTTTCCAGCCTATGCTAATGATATTATCATCATTTCCTGGACTCGGTTTCACTCTGATCTCACTCCAACCTTGTACATATATATATATGTATGTGTGTGTGTGTGTGTGTGTGTTAAACCTCTACTATCTTCAGTCAGTGCTTCTCAGGCTCTCTGATGGGGGACCAATAAGTATTTCCCAGCAGGGACCAATATTCTATTTGTGCCCTTTGGCTCAAACTATTTCTTTCCTTCTTGGAAACTCCCCACAGATGAGCAGACAAAGGTTCATGGACTAGCACTCTGAATAATTCAGAAACAGAATGCAATTCATGAAGGTTCATGCTGAAAAATATAAAATAGTATCTAGGAATTCAAAAAAGACCCTAAGATAGGTTGCTGTTGGCTATATTGAAGTAGTGAAACCATAGGAGAATTTTCAATGTTTCTTTTAAGATCATATGAAGTTAAACATGACTCATACAAATGTCTGGAGAAGAACTGTAGGGTTTCACTCTCAGAAAATGGAAATAGATCTATGCCATGATAAAACAATTTTCCACCAGGGCTTATTTGAGAGGAGCACACCGCGATCCTTTCCAGCTGTTACACGACACCAAAAAAGATTGGCTAAAGTCTTACAAGTCAATCTTGTAAGAGGTTGGAAGGGAAATCCTGAGTCTTCTGTGTTCATGCCTATGGGCTTGCGTTTTCTGGACCAGTGGCATACCTAGCATATTTGACACCCACTGGACTTCAGTTTTAATACCCCACTCCTCTCTTCAACAGCGTTTTCCAGGTCTGGGGCAGAGCTTCTGGCTGGGTGGCAAAGGGAGAAAACTCACTAACCTGCATGGCCAGCATAACCAGCAGACCCTTCTAAGAGAAGCTGCTGGTGGGGATGAGCTACTCCTTCCACCCCACAGCTTTTCTGGCTCTGGTGGAGCTGCTGGCTAGCTAGGAAATGGAAGAGACCAGCTTTCCTGCAAGGCCAGGAGAGCCCCCAGACCCAGACAGCAGCTTCTTCCCATCAACACATCCTCTGAGGCATTCCCTAGTGAGATCCTTACCCCTCGCACAACCCTAGTGATGCCCCTCTTCTTGACTCAAGTTCTACAAACTGCCTCCTGTTTACAGGACTAAAACTTATTTGGGGGAGGGGTCTTCTGAATATTGTACTTCAAAACTGCTGGTAAATTGTTGGGGGAATGGTTCTTCCCAGATTTTGGAAATCTCTGAGAGCCAGCATGGTGTAGTGGTTTGAGCATTGGACTGTGACACTGGAGAACAGGGTTCAAATCCCCGCTCTGCCATGGAAACCCAGTGGGTCACCCTGGGCAAGTCACAATCTCTCAACCTCAAAAGATGTCAATGGCAAACCCCTTTTGAAGAAATGTGCCAAGAAAACCCCATTATAGGGTTGCCTTAGGGTCACCATAATTCAAAAGGGCACACAACAACAAAGTACCAACACAAAGTCCTTCCCTGTATCTATTTAATGCCCTGGTCCTGCCTTTCAAGGCAACTTACATTGGTATACAAAAACTTTTAAAAGCTTTTAAAAACAGATAAATAAGTAAATAAATAAACTATTCTACTAAAACCACAATGTTAAAACAATTAAAATATAATTTGAAGCATTTTTTTTAAAGATAAGGGTTCAGGACACCACTTTAAAGCACCCTACCACCGCTAACATAAAGGTCTTTGCTTGGCAGAAGTGGAAAGAGAGGAAAGAGGAGGCCAATGACATCTGTTGTGGCAGGGAGTTCCACAGGCTGGAAGTGCCATGGAGAAGGCCCTATCTCCTGTCCAAACATGTCTGTGATGGTGGTGGGACTGTCAGAAAGTCCTTAAAACTTGGTCAGGGTCATATGGGCAGATGCAGTCTTTTCTATCATCTGGACCTAAGCCATGCAGGGCTTTAAAGATCACAGAACCTGACCATGATGGGAGGGTTGCTGAATGTTTCAGACTTGTTTAAAGAGGGACAGAATGGATGCTCCACAGAAACAGGCAAGTAAAAGCCAGCGGCTCTGTTCAGAAAGAGGCTGGCGTTTCTGTTCGTTGGGAAGCTCACCAAGATAAGGAAACCTTGGGAGGGCTGTCTTTATAATGTCAACTCCCCCAGCCCTTCCTGGAGTTCTTTTGTTGGGTCAGACAAAACATGAAAAGCACAGGGTTAAAGGCCTAGATTGCAATGGCATTCCAGACCACAACCGTGAAGGTCATTCAGGAATAAAAAGCTTTGGAGACTCAACAAAACCAACAGCCAGTTTGCAGTACATATGCAGTGAGGAGGAGGAGGAGGAGGTTGCTACAACTATTACAGGAAAAACAATATTTTTCTGACCCTTTCTTTCCTCCCATCTAGTCAGTAATAGATAGGAAACATCTCTCTCTTTCAAAGGCAACCCTAAAACGTATGGGGGAACAATTGCCAAGACATCCAAATACTCACATTGGCCAATTCTCTTTTCTTCAGGCCATGGTTTACTATGAGCCTTTTTCTGGAAGTTCTTAGTTCTCTCTCCTTGGCCCAGCTTCCATCCAGCCCAAGCCCTATTCTACAATTTAAAATAGCATTAAATAAAAGTGTGGGGGGGAGAGACTTTTTCTTCTCATCCCTCCAACATCCATCCGAGGCTGACCGATTCCCCCCTTCCAGCAAGAGAAGAGAGACACCTCACTCCCGGCTGGTTTCTGTCACTTCACTTCTGACAGTCGTTTCAGGCTGGATGTGCAACTGAACCTCTCTGGGGCCACCAACCCCTTTGGAGTCCGCACTGGAAAGGATACTGAATGGGCTCCGTATCAACCTGGCCACTTGTCTACAGCTCTTTCTCCCTCTGGGATTTCAGGCAGGTTTGTTTCCTGCCCCTAAATGGAGATGTTAGGGATCAAACCTGGGAATGTCTTTCTGAAAAGCATGAAGTCCATCCTTTCCAAGGCCCTGAACATGCCTGACCTCCCATTCCTGGTGGCACAGTGGTTAAGTGTCTGTACTGCAGCCACTCACTCACAAACCACAAGGTTGCAAGTTCAATACCAGCCAGGGGCTCCAAGGTCCACTCAGCCTTGCATCCTTCCGAGGTCACTAAAATGAGTATCCAGATTGTTGGGGGCAATTGGCTTACACATTGTAAACCACTTAAGGGGTGCTTAAGTGCACTGATAAGCAGTATAGAAATGTACTTGCTATTGCTATTGCTATTGCTATTGCTAGAAGTTCAGCAGGGCCAGGCCTGTTTATTTCTTGAGTAGGAAACCACCTGGAGGAAAGAGCAGGGATCTCCAGGTAAAGCTAGGAAAGGAATCATACTTGAAATGCTGGAGAGATAACTCTGCCAGTCAGAGCTGTCAACTCTGGTTTAAATGGACCATTGGTCTGGTCCATTATAGAGCAGTTTCCTAGAAATGCAAGGAAACCACCATACTTTCCTAAACACACTCTATATTCTTTGATTCTGCAAGTTAACCAACATGTCCTGTAACATCACACAGATGAAAATGGGGATGCATGTGGTCAAGGAACATCAGAGTGTCATCACTATTGCAAAAGCATGAGGAAGAATGGCCAAGTGGGGGGGAAATCCCTATTTAATTGAGGAAGTGGTTGGTTCTCACCTGCCTTCCCCTGCTACAAAAGAGAAGCCATTTTCCATGCAGCTGCTGAAGAATTCCACTTCTCTCTCTTTCTCTCTCATTGCTAGAGATCTGGGAGAATGATCTCAATTTTCTTTCCCCAGTTGCAAACTACAGCTGAGTGCTGCATGGTCACCTTCCTTTGCATTTCCACTTTCAACACTTTTTAAATCTACCTTCCAGGGCTGGAAGGAGCATAAAGCTGCTGAAGTCAAGGGTTACCCCTGCCTGCACAAACCAGGGTCCTCTTTTCTATCTCCAAGGCTGTAGAAATTTAGTCATGCTTTCCTTGATTTTCCTTTAAGGTCCAGACCCATATTTTTTAAAAAGAAAGAAAAGGCCTGGTGAACTTGGAGCACTAAATTCTATACACGGAGCCCAAATCGGAGCTTTTTCAGAGCCATCATAGACTGTGTCATTCTGTGGTATTTCAAATCCTTCAGCAGTCAAGTAGGCATTATTGCAGTCCATTTCTGACGGAGGAGGCTGTAGGCTGGAAATAAATAACAGTGCAGAAATTTGGGCATGATTTGTGTGCCTTTCTGTCCCAGCCTTGGCACAGCTGCCTTTATAAGGCAAATTACTAAGCCAGCCCATTGTGCAGAAAGGCAGGCTCCCAGGACGCATTGGCTTTGGCAATGGCACAGGTTCAACGGGGCTAATCATACGTGCCGCTCCTAGGAATGTGAAGGAAGTGGTGATTTGGTCCCATTTATTATAGGATTCCTCCTAGGTTCAAATATTTTAACTAGACTTGCTACAGATTGCTGTTTAATAGCTGTTCAGGACTCAGAATTATGGAGACAGCTGAAGTGCTATGCCAACAATTTATTATTATTTTTAAAGGATCTTGAAAGGAGAACAATCAGCTTAAAAACAGGAGACAATCAACGGTGAAGGAAATGCCACTCCTGCAAGGCAGTAAAAGCAAAATGGCTCATTCCATTGATAATAAATACAATCTGCACACTCAAGTTTTCATATCCGAGCCCTTAGTGCTGCTTAGCGTTGCTTTTTCTGCAATTAGCTGGTTGCAGAATTAACACCGAAATGGACATATTGCTATACTGACCAGCATTTTGGCTTATCATCCTGGAAGGAAAAAGAGTCTTCCCAGAAAGGATAAAGGGGAAAGTCAAATAGAAGAACAAGCAAAGCAAAATGTGATAAAATGAAGTGTGATAAAATGAAACTGGAGATAATGTGTTACAATAATATATACCGTAT